CGGATGAGCGCCGACTGTCTCGCGGCGCACGCGGCGCCGGGCGTTGGCGATCTCCTGGTACAGCCGCTCGCGGTACTCCTGCATCGTGAAGCGCGTGTCGTCTGGCAGAGAGATGGTCACCGGCGCAGGCGCCGACGGCTCGTCCTGCGACTTGTGGAACGCAGCGACGTACGGGTGCTCCAGCGCCTGCTCCGCGGTAAGACGCTCGTTCGGGTTGAAGCACATCAGCTTCTGGACAAGATCTAGCGCGTCGGGCGACGCCTTTGGGAGCAGCTCCGCAAATGTCGTCACGTGCGTGCGCCGCAGATCGCGCAGCATTGCCTCAGCGAACTGCGAGTTCGTCGCCATGATGTCCTCTGGCGTCGGCTCGCCGAGCACGCTGATGATTAGCTCCAGCTGCTTCATTGTCGTGCGTCCTGGGAAGATCGGCTTCCCTAGAATGAGCTCCGCGAGGATGCAGCCGACAGCCCACATGTCGACACCCTTGGTATAGCGCGTCGAGCCGAGTAAGATCTCTGGTGGGCGGTACCACCGCGTCATGATATAATCCGTCAGCACCGGCCGCGCAATCTGCTCCTTCTCAAGTGAAAGAATCGAGCGCGCTAAGCCGAAGTCCGCCACCTTCATCGTGCAGTCACTGTTCACCAGCAGGTTCGACGGCTTCATGTCACGGTGCAGAAGCTCGGCGGAGTGGAGGTACTTCATGGTCTTCAGCAGCTGGTATATAATAAACTGCTTGTGGATGTCCTCCAGAATTTTGGCACGGATCACCACATGCAAGTCCGTCTCCATGTACTCAAATACAAGATATATGTCCTTGTCGTTAGTGGCACGGTGCACATGCAGCAACTTGATGATGTTAGGGTGCTTCAGCGCCTGGAGGAACATTATCTCGCGAAACGTGCGCTGCGCGTCAGTGGCGTTTTGAAATGCGTCATAAATTTTTTTCAGCGCGACAACTTGACGCGTGCGGCGGTCGGCGGCGCGCCACACAATGCCGTACGCCCCCTGTCCTAGCTGCGCCTGTATATCATATTTCCGCAGAATATGAGGCTCTATTTCAGATGACATTTCTCTTTCGAGTACTTTTTCGTTGTGCTTATACTTCCTTGAATTTTTTTTTCTTCCTTTTCCTTATTAGCACTTATCGGGTGTGGCTGTCCACTTTTTTTTCTCCTCTTCTGCCTTTGCTTTGTTCCTTTTAGGTTTTCCTCTGGGCTTTTTTTTCTCCTTTCTGCCTTCTCCTGTCCTTTCCTTCCTTTGGTTCCCACCTTCTCGTCTCGGCACCTTCTTCCCGTTCCCTTCGACTTGCAAATATGCAGGTTATCTCTCTCAGACACCCGTTCTCTCTCGCTCTCTCTCTCTCCTCCTTTCTAACTGAAGTTTCGACGTTTGCTGCAGAAGCAATGCCACAGCGAGGAAATGGGAGAGGTAAGAAAAGCACAGGTTCTGATTTCCTCCGACAACAGCAACACCAACATCCCACGGGTGCAACAAGAAATATGGAGTGGCGACGGGCAGGGCTGCCCGCCCACAGACCCAGAATAAAGAGAGTACCGGTTGAACCACACACAAGTGCTACGCGCATGGAGGGTTCCAGGGAAAGAAAGAAAGTGCACACGACGCAACAACAACACACACACACACTAGAAACACATATACAAACAAGCTAAGGGCGACAGGACAGCCTACTTCATAGTTGCTGTGAGCCCTTAGCCCGCTGCTGCACAGCCTTCTCCTTCCGCGCCACTTCTTCTCGAATTTCCTTCTGAAGCATGTCAAGGGACTCCAAAGTTAGTTCAGGTAACAGTGACACTATAGCAGTGAGAATGGCTCGCTGCGTTTGAATTGTCGTGAAGGATGCGCTGTCAGCCGCCAGGGCAGAACTTGTCCCTCTCGACCCTTCACTCTCACGATTGCTGATCGGCTGTGCCTCTTTCTCCTCTTTGGCAAGCCGCCGCGGCGCATTCACAGCGGCCGGCTTCTCTACGCCTTTCGACACACGCGCGCTACTGGGTGGCTTTCTGCGGGCGTCCTCCTCTAGGTCAACTGTGCCGCGTTCTAGAATGTCCTGGATCACCCTCTCGGGGAGCTTCTTCTTCGCCTCCTCCCGCTCCTTCGCGGTCACCTCGATGTTGTCGAGCTGCTTCAGGTGCGGGCAGCACATGATGACAAAGTTGCGATAGTTCGGATGCTTCGAGCACGGGTTGTCCATGAGCCACAGTGTGCGGAGGTTTGGCAGGTCTTTAATGTACCTGATCTCCGCCAGGGACACGATGTTGTTCTTGCGCAAGTACAACTCTCGTAATGACGTGCAGGAAGCAAAGGGGCCCAGTGTCGTTAAATGGTTAGCCGCCAGCGCGAGTACCTCAATTCCAGTGATTTTCGAGACAATAGATACATCCGTAAGTCCCTCACCCCATAAATTCAGGTTCCTCACTCCAGACAAACTCTCGGCTTTGGTCTTCTCGAGCACTAGCTGCTCCTTCAGGATCATCTACCGCCTTGCCACGTGGCCTTCGCCCCCTTCGGTTATCTGCCCGCTCGCTGTCTCGCACCCAGCAGCAGAGAGGGAGGAAGTATGACAAGAAAAAAAGACAACAGAACAAGCAGGGATGCCATGAATCCAGCACACAAACAAAATAGCGGCACCTGTACCTGCTGCTGAAACAGCAAGTGCTTTCAAAGCAAGCGGGCCATATATTCTTGTTTTTCTTTCCTTTCCTCTTACAGTGTCCAAGAGAAACAAACACACATATTCACTCTTTTTCTTTCTCGCATTTTCAGCCTCCTCGCCTTGGGTCTCTCTCTGTGAGTAAAATCCCCCGGGGTGTATATAGCCTGCCGCATTAAGATCACTTGCTGCTGCTGCTGCTGCTGCTAGTGCCGTTTTCACCCTCTGAAGATATTTCGTCTGCAGTCGGATTCACCGGTGCCGGTGTCGTTCGCCGGTCACCGTGAATCACTGCCACCTGTCCATGCGGCGGCTGGACCTGAATGTAGGGGAAGTAGAAATACTTGTTGCACGACGGTTCGAGCTGCGGGCTGAGTCGCAGTCGTCCATTGACACATACCACGTTCCCTTCCTTTATTTTGTGCTTAACCTCAGCCGAGAAGAGCTCACCAAAGCAGCGGATGGTGTGGTGATCCTTCTCCACAACGACCTCCTGCGTTGGGTGCGTGGTGTCAATGCTCGTCGTCGTGAGGGTGAACTGCGTGACCGCATCTTCGTACACAAATCCGTTTTGGATGTCATGCACGACGCCGACTAGTGTCACACTATTAACGCTCTTGCAGCGGTTTAGGACCGTACGCCGCAGCATAAAACGGGAGCACGTGAGAGAAAACATGTCAGCCGTAATCAGCAGTGCTGTTTTCTAGTAGTGACTCTGCTTCGGTTCCCTCCCACTCTTCTTCCTCGCCCCCTGCCCTTGGGGAGTTTGCGCTGTGGCGTCTGGCTCTATGCACGGTGTGGCCATGTGGGAAATGAAAAAAAAAGCGAGAAACAAAGGAAAGGGGAGGGCAGAAGGAAAAAGAACAGAGCAGGCGCAACGGTGCGTGGAAGAAAAAGCGACGTGCGCCCACGCAGAGACGGTGTGTCAGAGAGGGAGAGAGACCCTGCACTCTAGATGAAGGCGGCACTCACTCCGCGAGCACAAGCACAGAACTTCCGTCAAAGGACGGCGTAGGGGCCAGCAGCAGCACCGGCAGTTTGTGCACAATCCCGTCGCAGCGCTCCGCCACGCGCAGCTGCCCACTCGTGAGCACCCGCTTTCCCACCAGTTGCTGGCCGAGGAGAGCCGCGTCCGGCAGCCGCT